TTTCCAGTTAATATACTAATTTAAGGTAAGACAAGCCATTAAAGCACCAGCGGTAATAAGTTGTTATGTATTATTTTAAGTCTCACTATAGATGCAAAGAATAAAGTTTTAATTAAATTTTTACTTTTCTGTATTTTATCTTGTGACCACAGTGAGTATTAATAAAAGGCAATAACTCTCTTTAATATGTTGAGATAACTTTTAAGAATAAACAGTTAGTTATCAATAATTAAATTAGGTAGTTTAATAACCTTAAGCATTATGGGTTTACATGGCCACTATTAAATTTTATTTTTTAACAACATTTGTTAAAAAAAACCCTATTAAAATCAAAATCTAATAAAATTTCACAGTTTAAAATACATGTAATTTTTAAAATTGATTCTTAAACGATATTAGTATTTGTAACAACGCTCAACAAAATATTTATCAGTCATTTTAATTTGAAGCTTTAATAGACATTTTGGCTAGTTTATATCGATTTCCTTCTGTTTAAGCATCTTTTCTAGCAATTAAGAGATTTGTCTCAATATGCAAACCATTGTTCTCGCTAGTTTCTGCGTGCTTTGTCTCCTAACTTGTCAACTTCTCCACAATGTAAATATGAAGGTTTACTTAATCTGGTAGAAGTAAAAAAGTCCAAAACCTCTGACAGACATGAAGCATATTATCGCTATGTCTCAAACTACAATATCAGACAAAGATTTAAATAAGCCTCTTATTTTAAAAGAACTTAATACATAAAGGCATGTTCTGATGCTAACGAAATCAATTACAGCTCACGGTGACATAATTAAACAAAAATTATAGTTATAAATAATTGAATTAGGTAGTTTGATAACCTTAGTCATTTAAATGGCCACTATTTAATTACCTTGGGATTTAAATGGCCACTATTAAATTTTATTTTTTAACAATATTTGTTAAGAAAAACCCTATTAAAATCAAAATCTACTAAAATTTCAAAGTTTACAAATACATGTAATTTATGGCATTGATTCTTAAACGATATTAGGATAATTACACATTAAAAGCTATAAAACATTCATGTTTTGTATCGACAACACTCAATAAAATATTTATCCATCATTTTAATTTGAAGCCTTCCCAAACATTTTGACTAGTTTATATAGATTTCCTTCTCTTTAAGCATCTTTTCTAACAATTAGAGATTTGCCTTTATATGCAAACCTTTGCTCTCTCGCTAGTTTCTGCGTGCTTTGTCTCCTAACTTGTCAACCTCTCCATAATGTACCTATGAGGGTTTACTTGATCTGGTCAAAGTTTAATAGCCCAAAAACCCCAGACAGGCGTGAAGCATAACAAGAACAGTCAAATTCAAACTAAAAATTTGGATTAGTAGTCAAAGATCATACAGTTTAATTTAAATTTAATCTGGCTCAGTAACTCTATCCTATGAGGAAATAGAAATGGGAAATTATAGTAAATGCTAAAATCATAAATAATTGGGTAATTGACATAATAATAACTGCACATATCTTTGAAGAATAATTTTTTTTTATGTATTCAGTTTCTTTCTTGAACACGTTTCCTTTTCATTTTAGATTTTTTAGATTTAATTAAGGATTTCTGTTATTGTAAAAAACACTAAATGACCTTAGAATGTACAGAAAAACGGCTAATTTTATTTCTTTAGTGATATGAACATTCAGAAGAAATATGAAATAGATATGGTAAAGGTCGGTTACAGAGCTGATATGGAAGAATGTTTAGAATTTAATGACACACCGAACAAAATTCAGAAATGGCAAAACTTTTGGAATTTAGATCTGGCATTGGAAGCACTTAGAAAGGCACTAGGCAACAGAATTTAGGATCCACAGAGATTGTATCGAGTGGGAAAATGCCTAGTGCCAGCTACATGTGTGGTGCATTAAGACATATTAATCTTTTAAATTGTAAGTTTTCAATTTCTTTCCGAACTACTTCTTTCTTCAATTTCTTTCAATTCTATAATGCCTGCCCGTGGGATAAGATAATAAGCATTTTTGATATTTGCCATGCTTGTAGAGAAAATAGAGGGAGGATAAACATGTTAAGATTCTAGTATCAGAAGTAAAATATTCAAATTTTATGTTTTCATTGTTCTTCCAGACATTCTCTAAAAAAGTAAGAAATTCATTGCAAACTTTCTGTAAAATACATTCATTACATGTTGATACCATGGAGACATTTTTCATTTTGTCATATATTTCTCGAATCTTCTAGAATCAGCTCTATAAATCTTGCCTTCAAATCCTTCTAAACTTTCTAAGCTGCAATATCTAAAATCCTAAAGAAAAATTATCCCTACCAATTCTGTAACAGCAAAGGCCAGAAATATTTTTTTTTTGGGGGGGAAAGGGAAAAAGAGTAAAATTAATTTTATAGAGAAAAACTGATGCATATTCTGAAAATTCTAAATATTGAGACAATTACATGGAAAAAACTCTTACTATGAAAAAATTAAAAAGAAGACATTTTTAATTAATTACATAGCTAATTTTGCTTTTGCTAAGAGCTGTTTCATAAATTGTGCTTTATAGCATTATACCTTGTTTATTTTTCAGATTCAAAATATTGAAATTATAGAAACTGATCCTAAAATCGCCAAAATGTTGATAAGTCACCAAATTTAGAATCGTTTAATAAAAGAATTCACATACTTAAAAGCAAAACGTTGTTTAAGAGCTCTTTATTAGAAAAAAAATCTGATGTGTACACCATATGACTTCCTTGTATTGGAATATTAAATTATACGCATTTTTTCTTGCATTTCATTTAAACTTATTGGATTGAATTAAATCTTCTTCGCCGACAGCGCATAAACCACAATAGAATAAATGCATTCTTTAAAATTCACTCTAGCATTTGTTTACGATAGCGACAATCTGGCGCTATATTCACTTAACAGTATTAATAATTATATAACAGTTAACTTATGTAATAATTTTATAACGGAAACTAAGTTAACTGTTATATAATCCAATAATTATATAACAGTTAACTTATATATTTCGTTCATATTATAACTCATAATGCACAAAATTTATATCATTTAAAGAATAGAATTATCTAATCGTTGCCACATGTTCTATTCAAATACTATAATAAAGCTAGAATGATGTATAAAAGAAATTAAGCAAACAAAACAAAAAAGAAACAGTTTTTCACAAACGATTGAGTATTTCTCATTTAATTAATTCAGTTCGCACTTCGTGAGAAGGCAAAAATATATAAGAACTCAAAATATCTATATTAAAAATTACGAAGTAAATCTCAAACACTTATTTCCTCGAAAAAATTTCAGAACGGATTAAGAATGATTTAAATAACAAATGAAGGCGTTATCTTTGTTGCTGCGAAGCTAAGTATCTCTAGATTGGCAACAAATCCACTAGTCTCCTGTTTCAAATGTAAACATCAATGCCCGCCATTAAAAAAGGCTTAGCGGCAATTAAACAACTTTAAAATTGCTGATAATTCTAAAAATATTGCACACAGGTTTACTAAAGGCATAAAATCCTTAACCAGAAGATAAAAACAACATAATTCAATCATTTTTAAAGCAAAAAATGTACAATTTACCAAACATATAAGAGTAAAGAAACTGAGATCACCGAGCCGGGTAACAGAGTGGATATATATATAAATATATTTATATACGTTTGGTGCGGCCGATTGCAACCAAAATAGGGAGGTGCACATCTACATGTTATAGCAGTCCCTATATACAAAATTTCAAACGTTCTGAGGCTACTCGTTTTTGAGTTATGCGAGATACGTACGTACGTACATACGTTCGTACAGACGCCACAAAAAATTCTCTTCATGAATTAATTTTAAAGCAGTTTTATAATTTTTTTGAAGGAAAAGAGTATTTTATTCTGTCCTTACGTACAGATATCACCGCAAAGAGCATCGTTAAATTGCATTCGATAGCGGTCAAAATGGATATTTTTGTTGAAATATGCTGCCTGAAACTTTTCGCGATTACAATACTTCCTTTTTACTTCGTACAAGGAAGTAAAAAAAAAAAGAATTTTGCTGTGCTTATCTTGCACTTCTTGCTTAGAACCTCAAGTATCCCATCATTTATATTAGAAATAGAAACAAATTATAATACATGAACTCATTCAAAAGATAACCATATACGTCAGTGAATCGCCAAAAATATTCCTCCAAAATGCTAACTCACACTCAAAATGGCAGTCGTAAAAACAGATAGAAATCAGATGATTAAAATTAAGGACCAAAAATCGATTCCAAAAAATCTAAGGACTTAAAACCCTGCTGTAAATCAATTTATCCAGGCTGGGTTCCTCCTAAAAGAACCCCATTCCAGAATAGAATAGTGGAAGAAACTGGGGTGATGAAAACACAGAAGGTAAGGAAAGAAGTTAACACTGCGCTACTGCTGAAAGGGATGAATTTACTAATAACAATTTAACTTAACTGAAAATAAATCTTTATTTCTGTCACAAAAGCAAAATAATTAAATAATTTTCTCCAAACTTCATGCAATGAAATTGCCTAAATTAATTAGATATATAGTAATGTTATATATGAATAAAATATAAATATAATAATATTAATAAATTAAAAATTCAATTTTTTCTGACCAGTTTTTTTTCTCCTGGCATGGAAGACACTAACTCTATGGAGAACACAATATTTCCAAAATCTAACTCTTTATACCGATATCCGATTGGCCAGATTAGAAAAAATTTTCTCCTATTTTGAATTCATCCATTCAAAATCATGAAATACGTTAATACATGCAAAGGAAAAAATATTGTGTTTTAGTAGATAATTCTTACAATACTACAGTTTCAATTTTGAAATATATTTTTTTTTAAATTTGTTTGTTTTCTATTCTTTCTAAAATAATTATGTTCTTTAGCTATTTTTGTTATTGATATGAATTAAAATTCAGTTACAAAATCTATCTAAATTCAAAAGCAAATCTCACAGCAAATACACAAAATACACATACATACCCACACCTTCCATTTGACAATGAGACAAACCTATTTCTTCCGGCTATTTTTTTCTTGTAATTTTTTTCAGTACTTATGTATTATTCCATCGATCATGAACTTTGGCTGCCCATCAAACCATGAAAGTCAATGGAGATTCAGCCAAAGTTGCTCCAGTCATTCCCACAGAATCCTGAAAGATCCGACACCTCTATTTATCGAATTTTAACGAAAGTTTCCCACCACCGCAAATATCATCTGCGCAAACAATTCACATTGGTGTGTTTAATCATATTTTTACAACCAATTTTTGACATTTGAAAGAAAGAGACTTGCTTTAGTACACTGTTTTTTTGAAATTTGTAACAAATACCATTATCATTAAGGTGTTTGAAATGGAAATATCACACTACCAGATTATAACCACTACTTACTTCCAGTTCTGTTGAAAAAAGTCAGCTACAGAATGTCACCAAATCATGTGTACAGCTTTAGGTATTAATGTTGTATCATATGGTACCGTGAAGGTTTGGTATCGAAAGTTCAAAAACAAGGACATTCAAGAAGGAGAGGGTTCTGGCCAGCCTACTAATGTTGATGAGTGCCCCCCCCTGTGAGAACTTGTGGAAGAAGATCAGTATGCAACAACACAAGAGCTTGCTAAGGAGTTAGTTGTTAGTGCCATGTCCATTAGTCGTACTGTGCATCGCACAAACTTGATGTACAAGTTCAATCGCTGGGTGCTGCATGAGCTGACTCAAGCAGATAAGGTCAGACTTGTTTGGGTCTGAACTAATTTGCTCAAATATCAATGTAAGGACAAAATTTTGGACCGGATCATCATTTGTGATGAAATGTGGATTTACCTCAACACAACAGGTGGAAAAGGGGGTTGGCATGTGACCGGTGAGCCCGTCGGTAGCAACGCAAAGTGCAATTTGAATATAAAAAGAGCACACTTTGTATCTGGTGGGACTGCTGTGGTATTATCTCCAAAGAATAATTAAAAATAGGTGAAACCTTCAACAGGAAGGTGCGTAACGAGATGCTAGTCCATGTTACGCTGTTATCAAGGAAAAATGCTGAACTGAGTTCTGGAGCAAAAAGGTAATGTTCAATCAAGATATTGCAAGACCACATGTGTCTGCATTCACCGGCTGGACTCGATTGGGATATTTTGCTACACCCACCATATAGACCAGACATTGCTCATTTAGACTTGACCTCATTAGATTGAGCTCATTTAGATTATCTTGCTAGTACTATCTTCCATTCTGCACAGAATGTCTAAAATGAGGTTGATCTGTTTTTCGACTTGCGATCACCAAGTTTCTGGGCTGAAAGCTTTGAAAAACTACCAAAACATTAGCAGAAAATCATAGATTTGCGTGGTGATTATTACCCGAACTAAAAGTACTGCTTTCATGCTTTTTTCCCTAACTTTATTAAAATGTTTTTTGGCGGAAAACTTTTGTTACGACCAAATAATAAACAATCAATATTTGATCTGCTTTATTTTTGCACTTTGTAAAAAGGCTTTCATCATGTTTTGTACAAGGCAGGGCACATTTTAATAATTTTTTTAATACATGGAGAAAATACAGCAATGATAGTTGATTTAAAACATTGTTCATAAAAATAAACGTGAATTATCATAAGGGCAAATGTTGTGATGTCACGCTTATCCATTAACTGGCACTAAATTGCGCTGCTTAACGGCAGTTGACAGGATAACACATAAGTACTGTTTTTCCCCTGCTGAGGAAGAAACTTGCCAACTTTCTAATTCACATATTTCATATACAAGAGTTACATAACTTTTTACCTAATCAATCACTGTTGACTTGCAGATCAAACTATGCAATTTCAAACATTGAGCTAATAAATGAGTCCTGTCTTATGTAATATTCCAAAACACACATTTAATTTAAAGTCATCCAATAAAATACAAAACTAATATTCCCCCCCTCCAAGAGAAATGTTTCCAATTTTTTTTTTTTACTTTTATGTGTCAACAGAGCTTAACACATTATACATACAAATCCAATATGGGAGACATTATGAATGCATCTAAAAATAGATTTAGAAACTAATTTTAAGTATTGCTATAGTAGAGTATGCTTCATGCATTACTCAGAACCAAATAAATGCCTAACAATAGTTGAGCCCAATGCAGCAAATATTGCTAATACACAACTGACAACACTTTTTATATATCATATATTTCAAAATACTTTCTTAAAAACTAGCATATGAAATAAAAATGTGAGCAATATGCCCAAAATTGTATGATGAAATTTATTATGATAAGGTTGTATATATATATATAAAA